GTCAGTCTTGTGCAGCCTTGTTATTTTTAATATTGCAGCACTCCCGGTTTGTTTTGCTGGGAACTTGCAGGTATTGATTCGCGGATTCTTTTGTTGCCTGGATTAGAAAGAAAGTCCCTTTCCCCTCGCTCCCTGGTGCTGGGAGAAACAAAGAGTAAAGAAAGGTAGATGCTATCTGACGCCTGCTCAGATACCGAGGTGATTTCTGAGAACTGTGGAGCCAGTTTCTGACTCAGAGCTGGGGTTTGTTTTCACACCATTAATAGATTTTTTAATTTTTTTTTTGCAATGGCAAATGAGGACAGTCTCTTGGGGAGAAGCCAGGGAATCTGCCTTGGCAAGCTGGGTCACCCTTTTTCCTGCTTGCAGGAGCCTTCCCACGGGGACACTTCTCTGCCGTAGGGGACAAAGTGGTGGCAGAAGGTGTTTCTGGAGGGGGAGAGTCTCGTGTCCCTTTTGGGCTTCTCTTGCTGGGCAGGTCGATGGGTGGCAGCTTGGGGGGGGGTCCCAGGGGGGGGAAGGAGATGGGGAAGCTGCTGCTGGGAGCAGAGTGAATTATTGCACGATGCCGGTATGGGATTTGCACGTCTGTGTAGGATGTAAAACTCCCCTGGTTAGTTTTGATGCCTGCCTGTTGCTGCGTAGTGACTTGGGGCTCAGCCCCGTCCCCATGCAGAAGTGCAAAACCTCCTGTGGCCAGCACTAGATGGAATAACGCACTGGGAGCCGGGCAGGATGAGACCTTTCTCATTTAGCGAGGAAACACAGTTGGTCATTTGCCTGAAGAAGGGAGATGGACTTACTTGGATGTTGCTGCGTGAGGCGTATTGAGCACAGCAGCCCTCTGCTCTGAGTTATCCTGTACTGAATGCGCCTGGTTCTCGCCTTAGGTGTGAGCGGGGTGGAAGCGTGTTCTGTTTCCCTTTGGTTTATTTATCGTCCTGTTTTCCACCTCTGTGAAGCTTGATATAGGTATAGAGCTTCAGAAATGTACACATAAGAGAATAACAGATAGCTGTGATTTGGTTACAAGGCAATAATTTAAGTTGACAGGTTTAGCTGATAACATAAAACACAAGAGGGAAACAGCATCAGTTTAGAAATGTCAGCAGAACCCCTGTGAGCGAGTTGCCGCCTTGAAGCCAACTCCGGTGCTGTTACTCCATCTACTATATTATGAGAAATAATAAATGGATGTCAGAAAAAATCTGGCTGACCAAGATGAAAAGAACAGGGCTATAAATTAAATTCTTCCTCGGCATCACTTTAAGCAACTTTCAGGACAGACAGAACATGTCCCAGTAAGATCCATGCTAACGCACCAGGAGGAGCTCCGAAAGATTGGCTGGTTTTGGGCTGCGGATGCTCAGACACACGGCAGCACCCAGGCATGAGGATGGTTTGTCTGAGGGCAGCATAAGTCAGAGGAGTTGTACTCTGGCTTGTGTGGGAGAGCAAAGCCTGTCCTGGTGCTTCCGCAGCCAATAAAGGGATTAAATTGAGAAGGGGAATAACACCCTCCTGGCAGGACTTTGCCACAGGATCACTGTCCCTGCTTGGAAAAGAAGCGCTGTCACTTTGACATTTATTCCCGGTACACACCTTGTCATTCGTACGGTGGCGAGGTTTTTTTTTTACCCTCTGAGGCATTTTACCGGTTGCCCGCTATCTTTCTGGCTGGCGGGCAGCACTTCCCCACTGGGGACACTGCGTGCTTGGCTTAAACTCCGGGGCTTTCTCTTAGATCCATAACCCAGTGACACGTGTTCAAATTATTTTAGCTGTGGTTTAAAAACTTCCAAGGAGGGGATATTTTTTAAGCGGTAAAGAATACAAACCAGCTGTGGGGGAAGGAGTTTGCCAGCTTCCTCCTCTGACAGCTACAAACCTTTCTGCAGGTTCGCGGAGGGGTTTTCACAGCTATTTCTACTCACTGGGTGGTTGATTTGGAGATGGGAAATTACGTAGCATGGGAGCTCTTCTTTCCCTTTATATAGAGCAAGGGACTGGGACAGGAGGAGACCTGGCGGCTGCAGGATTTGGAGATCTCTGGGAAGTGAGACCATTCGGCTTCATTCATTAGCACGTCTCCGCAGTGCGTGCCTGTTTGGATAGACAGCTTCTGTTTTTCTAAGGTGTCAAGGAGAAATAAAGTCAGAAAATTGCTTAAATATAAACTTGTTTTTATGTTTTTTAATTGAGTTTCATTTCCCAAATGCAACGTAATAGAAACAATAAGTAAGAAATTAATTCCTGTAGGAAAAAAGCTGTTCTGGATTAACAGGACATGAAGCCGTGTAATTGCGTACACATGTATCGTTCTGGTGCGTGTGCCTAGCTGTTGAATGGTGTCAAGTTATAGGAATTAAAGAGAATCGACTATTTTTAAGGGAGACGTCTAGAAGCTACATATTGAAACATGATTAAAATTCAGAATTTCCAGCTCACTTGTTTAAATCAGCAGTTTTAATCACATTATTCAAGTCAACCCACCCTCAAACACACTTTACAAATAATACTTCAAAATACCCCAAACTAAATAAGACTGAAGACCTCATCCTGACTCAAACGTCTGGAATATTTTTAAATCGCTATGGCAATCTTTTTACTGAAAACAGAGGTGTCTGTCTTGGTTTATTTAGGAAAGCAGCGTTCATCCTGCTGCGGCGTGAACCTGTGCCGCTGCGCACAGCGGTGAGAAGAAATCCCTGTAGCAAAGAAAGCCGCTTGCGTACATCGGGGCTGAGATTCCTGTTCTGGGGTTTGCATCGTCCCGGTCAAATCTTGTTTAGGAAAATGCAAAGAAGCAGAAGCAGGTTTGTGTCTTCTCTGACGGCAGCCTCCTTAATTCAGTCACGCTGGGTTTGTGAGCGTGTGCGCGCCGGGGTTTGTGTTTTATTTACCGCTCGCTGAAAATAGCAGCTGGGAGGACTGGTCACCCGGGAGCCGCTCAGCCCTTCTGGAGGCTGCTTCCTCGCTTCTCTTTTGATGTTTCCTGTAAGGAAAGCCCCTCAGCATCCTTCCTCTCCCCTGGCAACCGAGTGAAGTGATGTGGCCAGATGCACCGGGAGCACGACAGCCAGAATACGCTGTACTCTTCTGACGGGGACGTTTATTTCTGGCTGCGCTTGACAATTCCGGACTTGCTTCAACACAGGCTGTGGTTGTGACCTGGGCTGTCCCAGTGCTTGTCACCCAGCGAGGAAAGCCGCTGGCTTGGGGAGGGGAAGGGCCCAACTCGCCCCTCGCCTTCTCCTCCTCTGAGTGCCCTTTGTGCCCGTGGAGGAAGAAGGTGTCCTCCTGCATCTGTATGTTCAGCATACAAAGCCATTTTGTGGTTTTTTTTTTTTCCCTTGCTGGCAGTTCCCTGCCTTGCTGTCTCTTGAAACAGGGAGGGGAGATGCAGTGTTGTCCTTTTCACGGAGCTCCTCCAAACTCCTTTTCAAGCGGCATGTCCCAGCTGCATTGCCTGCGTGGCCTGCGAGGGGGACAGCTCAGCTCTCACAGCGAGTTTCTGCCAAGCTCACCTTTTCAAAGCGGGAGGATGCTCCTCTCGGTAGACATCTAGATTAAAGCTCCTGCGTATCACTGGTAAAGGAGCAGGAGGAGGTTTGGGTCTGTCGGTGGAAAGCATCCCCAGTGTGGAGGAGGTGTATCTAGCCTGTCCTTGCATGGTTTGAGATGGGGAGATAATTCATATCCCCTCATGTATCCGACCAACACAACCTATGGACAGGATACGGTAGAGAGAAAGAGGAGCTATCAGAAATGCGCCGTGTTCTAATAGGAAATCCCCCAAAATGGATTTTTCTGTTTTTTTCTAAGCACATTCATACCTGCTGGATGGCTTTGGGCTTTGAAATGTTTTTGTCTGAGTTGTGACAAACATCCCAGTCTTATGTAGGAAGCACCAGGTCCTTTGATCAGTGAAATGTCTCTTTTGTCTTGAAGAGGGAGGGATCAGTCTGGTTGTTCCCTAAACTAGAGCATTTTGTCTTTGAGTACATGTATTTATTGTACAAAATAATTATCTTTGTCTTCCCTTTGGTAGGAGATGCTACCTGTCTCCTGCATGCTGTGTTATCTTCTCTTAGGCGTCTTTTTAGGCAAAAGGAAACAGAAAGGAAAGGCTGAATAGGGAAACCTCATCAAGGTAGAGGAACACGAGCAGCTGTGTGTCTGTCTGTCCATCGGTGTGCAGCTGAGGTCTTTGTATTCGTTCAGCTGCAGCCTCGCTCTCTTTAGCAGGCAGATATGAGGAAGCGACGTCAAGAAGCAGCAACCAGAAATCACCTCCTCTCCATCCAGCGCAGCGGCTGGCCACCATGACATGCTTGTGGTGAATTGGAACCAAGAAGAACACTCTGAATTTCCCCTCTTTTCTGCATTTAAAGCCAAAGCTTAATGTATTCCATGTATTTGTGTTGGTGCATGGTAGTGATCATATATTCCTTTTAATACAATATTTCCAAACCAACACAGCCTCGCCTCGGTACATTTGATATTCAGCGTACCTGGCTGTACTCTGCGGCATGCTTTGATTCATTTTGGCGGCTGTGTTTTATGCTCTCTACCCCAATCAACAACCAATCCCTCTTTTTCCAAATAGTCTCCAAATCCTCTCGCAATGTGGAGTTTCAGTGCTCTCTTGGGATTTTGCGCTCTTGCTCTGCTCAGCATCCTTCCTCCCCTGTAGCAGAGCCAGCCCGGCCGCACAGGGACACCTTCGGTGGGTCAGGGTGGCATTTCTGCGAGGTTAAAGCAGCACGTGCTCTAAAATAGTCTGACCTTTGTTTGTAGGTCAGATAGTCTCCAAATCCTCTCGCAATGTGGAGTTTCAGTGCTCTCTTGGGATTTTGCGCTCTTGCTCTGCTCAGCATCCTTCCTCCCCTGTAGCAGAGCCAGCCCGGCCGCACAGGGACACCTTCGGTGGGTCAGGGTGGCATTTCTGCGAGGTTAAAGCAGCACGTGCTCTAAAATAGTCTGACCTTTGTTTGTAGGTCAAGCTGTTCCTGCAGGGTCACACGTACGGTTGAATCTGCAGACCGGAGACAGAGAAGCCAGGCTCCCAGATAGCGAAAATGGAAAAAGTGACACGAGAGAAGAGAGAAGAAGAAAAAGGTACAGTGATGGAAAGCATCAGGGGCGGGTGGGTTGCGGGATTCATGTCTTTCCTTAGAGGCCAGGTTCCCTGGTGCTGTCTC